CAGAGGGCTTGCGGAGAGCGATACTCTCAACAATGAGGGTTTAGGGTCTAAGGCTTAAGTATCAAGGTTTCGGGTTAAGGTTCGAGGGGTCAGGGTTTAGGTTTTAGGATTTGGGTTTTAGGATTCAGGGTTTAGGGTGTAGGGGTTTTGGGTTAGGGTTTAGGGTGTGGGATTTAGGATTTAGGTTTCAGGGTTTATGGTTTAGGTTTTAGGGTTTAGGGTTTATGGTTTATGGTTTCGGCTTTAGGATTTATGGTCTAGGGTTTGGGGTTTGGGGTTTAAAGTTTAGGGTTTGGATTTGGGCCGAGGCTGTTGTCCAATAGCAAAATACATCTTCACGTAAAGTTTATATATAGACATGTATCAATGTTCTTAGACCCCAAGCTAAGGGAACCTAACCCTAAACCCTATACCCTAAACCCTAATTCTTGTAGGCGAGAGGGAGAGGTGCCGAGAGGATTATCTATTATATACCACTTATGGAGGATTATCATGGAAAAGAGAGTGGACCATGACATGGAAATTGTCCATATATGGGGTTATGTATGTAAGAAGGGTTACGTAGCATAGGCAAGCCTGAAATATTCGAAGGGTGTAGTATTGACAACAGACATCTTTATTACACTTTTGCTTGGAGGTAGCATTGATGAAGTTCTGGTCAAATCCTATAGAGGTGATGTAGCTTCAACACAATCCTAACCTCAGAACTTGCATGAGAAAGTCTCTACTCGGGTTTAGGGTTTAGCAGTCTCCATTTCATTTTCCATGTTCATGTTCCATCTTCTTCTCCAGTTCTTGGGGTAGTATCACTGTATAGCCTAAACCCTGAGCCGTAAACCCTAGACCATGAACCCTAAGCCCTTCTCCCTTAACGCTACATAGATTGATCCTTAAACTCAGATCCCTTGACCCCAAACCCGTATCGCTCAACCCAAAATCCTCAACCGGGAGCCTAAGCCTTTAACCCCTAAACCCTGATCGCTTTACCCTAAATCCTATAGAGCCCTTAGGTTGCCCTTGTGCTTGCTCCGGGACCTCTCTAAGCTCGCATGGTCGAGCTTTTTGGGCCTTCTTTGCGAGGCTCTAACGGGACGAAAGAGAACCTTTGCTTCAGGAGTTTAGGGTTTTGTGGTTTAGTTATGACAACATAGAATATCTAGCGAGAAGTTACGTTTGACATAGTAACTGCAGATGATAGAGGTATCGCAAAAGGTTTGGGGATGCTCTAGGGACAAATGTAGACCCGTCCGTGATTTTAATAAACCCCCTCCGTTTAAAGGCCTTTCCATTAGGATCCCTACTATAATCGCTACTCATGGGAGTTTTTTTTCTCATTACACGTCTACATTACATCGGCTTTGGGGATGATGATTATATGGCGCTGGGGGATTTTAGCCCAATAGTGGACAGCATCGGGACAGAAAAGGCTTGAGAGTCTAGGCTTCGGGTTCTTTAACAGACAGCAAATTCTTCACCAGCATTCTTAACCTTTTTTGTTTTTGTTTTTGCATTCTTCCGTATGCATTGTTTTTCACGGTTGCTAGCTTCCTTGTTTGCGCGATTGGTTGAGCGTGCCCAAAAAAGTTCCAGATACGGTTCCCAGACCAATTCTGGCATCTGGGTGTATATGAGGATTATATAGGGGTTTTTCGGGGCTATATAGGGTTTTATATAGGGTTATGGGGTTTCATACCTGTTCACACCGGTTGGCACGGCTTGTCGAGAGCGCGGTGTTTATGGATTCCACCGAATGCTTGGCCAAGAAGTTGTCACCGGAAACCTGGCGTGACCGTCCCGCAGCTACCCCGACGCCATGAGTTTAGGGCAATATTCAGGTTATATTAGGGTTGTACTTGGATAAAATATTATGGAAACTACTATTTAAGGTTTAGGGTTTAGGGTTTAGGGCTTAGTGTTTAGGCTTCAGGGTGCCATGATGGATCACTCCTGACAGGTGTGGAGCCCGCCCAAAAGTTGTTACCGCAGCAAGCGGCCAAGACCTACACCCTAAACTCTAAGTCCCTACAGAAACCCCATAGGACAAGATTCTGAATACCTCCAACACCCTGAGCCCTTGTAGCTCGTGGCTTGGTTGCTGTGAAGGAACTTAACTTAAGTTACGCTACTGGAGAAACAATATTCATGACCATACCCACTATGGTAACTTGATATAAGTTCCTTAACAGCAACCCAGTTGGAGGCTTTTGTGGTAGGCTTCATGATCTGGCGATTCCTGGATGGGTCATACCATCCGGGTGGCCAGCTCCCAGGCTTTCAAATCGACGGTAGCTTGGGGGAGGAGGGTCCAGGATTTGTCCAGCATTTTGCGTTCCTGAATTTTAGGATTGGGGTTTAGGGTCAAGGAGCTTAGGGTTTAGGACAGGGGTCTTGGGTTTACCCGATCCCTTGTCAGGGGTCCTTCATAATTGGTCTCTGGTTCAGTGGTCACGTGCATAGGTTAAGGGCCTGAACTTTTAGGTTCACGGAATTATGCCAAGCAAGAGCCAATCAGCATTTTCCCTTTCGAAGCCCCAAATCCTAAACCGCATTACACCTTCAAACCTGAATGCTAAATCTTAAGTCTGGATAGGAGAACATTCAAGTTATAATCAGGGTTTTACTTGAATGCCCAATAATTGCCATTATGGATAACACTTATGTTTCGTAATGTGCTTTCCTGGTCGATAGCTGTAAACATTCAGTTTCAATACCTTCAATTCAAGCCACAGCCCTAAACCCTAAACCCTAAACCCTAAACCCTAAACCCTAAACCCTAAACCCTAAACCCTAGCCTTAACGAGGGTTTCCAACCCAAGACCCTGCGTACTTTCCCAGGATATTAATCCCTAAGCCCCCCAACCTCAAACCCATAAACCCTAAACTCCT